AACGGGAAGCCTTTCAGTTCTAAATGCTCATAAGTAGCTGAGCAATTTTTTCAAAAGCATGCACATCAAATAAACATGTCCTGTGGGTCCAACACAGTCTGTGATCTCCAGTGTGTGACCTTAGGAGAGATGACCATGCAGGCCCCGTCTGTACCCACTGTCTGTCACGGGGACCTGTGACTTACGGAGTATTTTCAATCTGCCCCTGTAGAAGGAGTTGAGACATGGGAACATTCCTAGGCCATCCCACATCTGATCTGGCAGGGCAGAGACCTGGCCTGGTCTACATCCTTAACCACACCTCCCTCCTGCCTTATTGACTATCGTCTCCCTTGGGACAGTTAGCCCAAATGGCTTGCAGGGGTCCTGAGACTACACCTGAAGTTCCAATATTACTGTTGCCACGTTACTTAGGGGCAGGCTTCCCTACTCCTCCCGCTGTTCCTTGTGTCCCACCTCCAGTCAGACCTGTGGTTGCTGGATAGGGCTGACGCAGTAGAGCTCAGGACTAGAGGATTTTGCATGGCTCTCTCAAGTCTCCAAGTCCTGCTTCGGCCAGTCGTTTTCTTGCAGAGAGCCTGCTGCAGAGCCGCTGTCTCTCTCCCCCAAGGCAGGCTGGTGGGTTACAGCTGTGGCAGATGTTCTTGGGCGGGTTGGCTGGCCCTCATTCTGTGGAAGCCAATAGCCCCAGCAGCCTGGGGAATTCTGGGCTAATGCTCAACCCTGGCACAGTCCTCTCTTGCTAACCCCTCCAGTCCAGGTCCCTGTGACAGATGCTGGGAACATATGCTATGAATTAATTCACTCCAGCACAGCCGCAGAGGAACAGCCAGCCTCCTCCTCTGTCTGTTCCTGCCACCTTGGCTTTCCTGGTTCTCCAATGCCAAAAGAAAATTAGGATTTTCTCTTCTCCTTGTTTCTTATGCTGTGTCCACTGGGCTCCCGCCCACCTACCCATCTACCTCTGCCTCTCCTGGGCTCACTGCTAAAGGCATTTGCCTCCTAGAGACTAATAGCATCAGAGGCCTGAAAAGGAGCCCTGAGTCCCGCCCACCCCCAGCTTCTTGTCCCCAGATAGGTTATGTCCCAATGTTCCTGGAATGGATGCATCCATTGCTTTCACAGGGAACTCCACCCCACCCTCCCCACCAAGGGACCAGAATCTCTCCATTCTGTAAGTCCTTTCCTTACATTTAACTCAAGTCGCTCCGGCTGCCGTGATTGTCTGGATGGAAACATACAGTGAAGCCTTGAGTTTTTCCTCTAAGGAGGGGTTGGCAACCTTTTTCCTAGAAAGGACTAAATAGTATATATTTTAAACCTTATAGGCTAGATGGTCTAGGTTGCAGCTGGGTTCTGCTCACTTGACCCCAAAGCAGCCACAGAGAACAGGTCAACGTATGAAAATGGCTGTGTGCAGGCAGAGACTTACAGAGTAAGAGGTAGGCTGGCTTTGGGCAATGGTCTGTGGCTTCCTGACTCCTACTAAAACAAACCAGTGTGCTTCTTATCTCAGAGGGAAAGGTCCTCTCTCCCATGAACTCTCTTATTATTTCCTCTGTTCCCTCATTAGCATCTCAAGTCAGGGCCAGGCCTCCTTGGACTCTGTGCTCAGGAAAGGAACTGGAGCTTGACAGAGACGGAAATGCACACATCTCCTACTCAGACCTAAAGCACTTCCAAGCTCAAAACATGATCCTGCAAAGTGAGCTGAGTGGGAGGGAAATAAAGAGAAGAAAGGAGAAGTTGTCTCCTGAAGATGCTAACAGTCACCTTCCAAAGACTTACGGAGGCATGAAAAACAAACAAACAAACAAACAAAACAAAAAACAAAACCCTAAGGATTGAAGACTGATGCCCTAAAGAACTAAAACAATAAACAACAACATCCTGGGAAAGTGCCGTAGTTTGTTTAAGTGTCACATAATCATATATGACACAATAACCTCACTCCCAGGAATCCAACCTAAGAAAACAAATAGGCTTTGTCCCCAGAGAAAGCCTTGTATGTAGAGTTCAGTCCCCAACTGAAAGCCACTCAAATATCTACCAATGATGGATGAAAAGATAGTAGAGAAAATACCACACACCAATAGAGACTAGGCAAATGTTTCTCTATGGAAGAGTCAAAAGTCTGCACATTCTGAGCACACATACAGGAAATGACTAGGTGTATGTAAGGAGTCACAGCAAATGGGTGGTTGCCCAGGGCAGGAGCTGGGAGCAAAACACAGAGAGTGGGGCAGGCAGGGAACCGCATGTCAGTGATGCGACCAGTTTCCCAAATTTACTAAAAGCACTGAATCGAACACTTTCAATAACGCCTTCACACAGAGGTCTCTAGCCCAGCGTGCCCACAGGACCCACTCACCACCGGGCAGAGCCCTTCATCTATACTGGCCCTCCTTACTATCAGCAGGGTAATTTAGTTTGTCAAAAAGCCTTTGAAATTCCCGGGGACCAGTAAAGACAACTGGTAGCCTTTAGCTATCGGTTTCCAGAGACAGAGAAGGCCCCTAGTTCCAGTAGTAAGCCCCCCTCGGAGAGTTCTCACTAGGCTCTTCACCAACGGCTGCAAATTCCAGGGAGCGTTGTGTCATGCAACCCTCTTAGAACATTCTGTCTTGCCAGCCCACTGGGCACACCTGGTCTGCGGCCTAGGATCTGGCAACCTCCTCCTGACCTCTAGCACATGACAGAGCCCATTGTTCTCACTCCACACAGCATAAAGAGCTCTGCTTCACCAGGCTGAGGCATGGATAGGAATAATAATAGTAATAACAATAATAATAATGATAATAAAAACTGAAAATTTTTCCTATCATGCTTGAAGGCTGGAAGAAGCAGAGAATACCTGTGATACCCAAGAGGCCTTGGGCACACAGAAGCATAACACCTATCTCCTCTGATTGGCTTGACTTCCATACCCTGACCTCTAATACTCCTCAGGTCAGGCCTGGTCCATCTTAGCCTCCTGGTTCTGGAAAGGTCCTCAGCACTGGACCAGCCACCATCTTACTCTTCCATCAGTCCCTTCAGCGACAGCCAAGATGAAGCCTCTCCTGATCATACATTTATTTTTATTTTCTCTTAGAGCCAGGCTGGGCTGACCTTAAACTTGCTGTGAAGGTGAGGATGATGACCTCGTACTTCTGCTAATCATGCCGTCTGCACCTCCCAAGCGGAGAGATGATAAGTGTGGCCATGCCTAGTTTCTGGGTTTGAACCCAGGGCTTTGTACGTGCTAGGCAAACACTCTACCAACTGAGCCACATTCCCAGATGGACCACTTTGTTTTAATTGACAATGCATATATCTGGGCCTCGTGGGCTCGGGCACAGTGGAGGTTCCCTACCACAAGCCTGTAGGCACTTCAGAAGAAGAGATGCCTGCTCTGGGACTAGGGGGAGTGGCAGAAAGTTCTGGAGAATGCTGGACTCTGTCCATTCATTGCATTAGACTACTTTTGCAAGCTGAAGGCAACATGGATGCTATGCACACTGCAGAATTAGCTTTTGAACACCAACACTGTCACTGGATGTCCCTGGGCACTCGTCCTCAGCCTCAGCCTCTGTCACGTGGGTAAAGCATGTTTCGCCAGGTCCCTGATAGCTATGGGATGGTAGGCTGGGGAACTGCTTGTGCTGAGTGCCCAGCTAATACACTTGAGCACTCAGCGTGGGTTGGAACTTGCTACTATTGTAGGGAGAAGAAAGGAGCCAAACCCTAGGCACTAGCTTGGGCCAGCTGAAGACCTCCAAGGTTGTTAAGAGCCTGGAGGCCGCTATGGAGTTTGCTGGTAATTAAGGGACTAGAATGCAGCCTTTGTCCTTTGGGTTTCAGAAGGATGTAGGCTCAAGAAAAACCAGCCTGGATGAAAACTTCTCAGTGGCCATGGGAATTATTCCAAAGAAGGCCTGTCTAGTGTGTGACTCCGGACCCCAAAGCCACTAAGTCCCTGAGTTTATAATTAACCGACAAGCATCCACTCTGCAGATCTGGAGCCCAGTAGCTCACCAGGGAAGGACACTGTAGTCACACAAAAATAACCCCCCAGTGGGTTTTTGAAGTGTTGAGCCTCTTTGTTTTTCTGAATTTTAATGAAGGGCTTTCCATGCAGGAAGGCTCAGCACTCAGCCTCCCACTCAGTGGCCAGAGAATGGGCCTTGGCTAGGGGCAGCAGACTTCCTGCAGGTCCAGCACAGGCAGCTGAGGAAGACTCCCCCTGTTTCCCTCCCACCCAAAATGTCTTAGGGGGGAAAAGAGAAAAACAAAACAAAACCAGGAACTGGTTAGGAAGTGGGTAGGGCTTCCTGTCCACCTCAGCACACTCTGAAGCAGGGAGTGAGGCTGGGGAACCAAGACCAGCCATGCTGTGCCAGGAAAGTCAGAGGCGACTGAAAGCAGGGCCCTGGCTCCCCAAGAGAGTGCTTCTGGGAGATTTTTTAGGGGTGCTGGGATAAAGCCTCCCAATTTGAACCAGCAAGAGACTCTTGGAATCCTCAGGTAGAAGGGAGAAAGGAGAGGGTAGTCTGAGCACACCCATGCCATCCTGCCAAGGCCCTCTCATTATCATATCCTGACCTTTCCTGGGAGGGCACGGTGGGCACAGGGAAGCTGGAGCAGAGAGTGCACCTGATGGCCCCAGAGGGCCACAGTCAGAAAGGCAGTGCCATACTCCAGGGAGCTAAGGCCTCCTGAGAAGTGGAGGAGCAGCCATCCCCACACCCCCCCCCTTTCCCTCATGCTCTTCAACTATATAGTTTGGAGTCCTTATCTGATTGTTTAAAAGCCACCTTCCTGCCACACATGGTGTCGTGCCTGTAGTTCCAGCACTTGGGAGACTGAGGTAGGAGAATCAGAAGTGCGAGGGGAGTCTGGCCTGTGTAGTAAGACCTGACCTCAAAACCACAGCAACACCACAAAACCAAAAGTGAAGAAAAAAGGGTTGCCTTCCATCATCCATGCGTCTAAGATGGTGCTGGACAGAATGAAAGGACTGCTCACAGAATAAGGTCATTTATTGACGTGGGATGCTCCAATGTGTCCAACTGAAAATAAATATTCTATTACAAAATATTCTGTATAAAAATTGTACGCTGTTCACAAGCTCTCTTGGTTTTAGACTTCTTGCATTTGTTCAAATGCAGTGACGTTCCTGGGTTAGATGTGCCTAGATGGTCCCACAGGGTCCTCCTTCTCTGCCCGCAGCAGGTCCCACTCTGTGAGGAGCTCTGAGGACACCTCAGTGTACAGATGGTCCCAGTCCCAGCCTACATCATCCTGCGAAGATGAAGATTGCTCGGTAAGAGAAAGAAAAGCCTTCCCTTCAGCCAACTTCCCACCCTACCCAGGAAGTTGCAGGCTGGGGTGGGGGGCAGGCCTCCAGGTGGGGATGAGTACCTTACCTCTCTCACTTCATGCTCTGGTGCCAGCACTTTGGTGAGGAGTTTCAGGTCAATTTCTCCATCCTGCAAATGCACAAAAAGCCAGGCTGGACCCTTGGGGGCATCAGCATTGCTTTTACAGTAAGGAGAGGCACTTGCATATGACAGAACTCTCCAAACCGAGACCCCAGAAAGCCTTGATCAAAGAACAACACCCCCCTCTGCGCAGTGAAAAGCACGACCATAGGGAGGAGAGAGGAATGGCCATGGAGAGGAGGGAGGCATGGCCATGGGGAGGAGGGAGGCATGGCCATGGGGAAGAGGGGCGGCTCTGGCATCCTTAGCACTGGGCTCACTGGGGAAAGCCAACAACAAGAGGACAGAATACGCTCCACATAGGCAGATGGTAACAGGGTAGCCATCGTGTGCCACGAGGGTGGCCAGAGTGGCTGGGAGCCTGGAACAGGAGTCTATGGCCCATGGATGTCACTACTAGGATTTCTCGGCAGCCTCAGGGATGTGGAGGAATGTGTACAGCTCTGGAGGAACTGAGAACTTTCCACATGGAGGTCCTGTGAGCTGGGCAGAGGTGGGTCCACTCACCAAAGTTTGAAAGGCTGAGTACTTCATGAGGTCATTGTCCAGGTCACGGTAGGTCATCACTCGGTTTACCTGGATGCTGAAGGAAAGGGAGTGAAAGAGCCACAGGCAACACTGGTTCCAGGAGAGAGCCTGACTGACTACTATATCTAGAACCTTGTATACAGACAAGATGAACCAGGAGAGTGTGAAGAACAGAATGAAACCCCTTGTCAGCAAGGCCAGCAAGGCTTGCTGCAGACAGCACTTGGAGCATGCCCATGTGTATGTTCTGGGCTTCCTCACCAATTCCACACCTAGCTTCACCTACCTCGGAGGGGATGCCACCTGCAGCACAAAGTCTTCCTCCTGCACATCTTCCAGATCTGGGATCACAGGAATATCTGCAAGGAGAGGTGGGGCAGCACAGTAGGCAGCATGATGACCAGGACCCCTGGTTGCTTAGCTTCCACATGTCAGACACTCAGACAGTCAAACATGGAGCTTCACCCATCCCTGAGAATGCACAGGAGGGGCACCTCCTGATGGGCTCTGGTACTTGTGTCTCTCCTGGAGTTTTCTTCAGTAACTGTAATGTAGTCACCAGGTGTGGTGGTTTGAATATGCTTAGCCCAGGGAGTGGTACTGTTAGGAGGCCTTGTTGGAGGAAGTGTGCCACTGTGGGGGTGGGCTTGGAGACCCTCCTCCCAGCTGCCTGGAAGACAGTCTGCTCCTATGTTCCTTTGGATGAAGATGTAGAACTCTCAGCTCCTTCTCCAGCACCATGTCTGCCTGGACACTGCCATGCTTCCCTGCCATGATGATAATGGACTGAATCTTTGAACCTGTAAGCCAGCCCCAATTAAATGTTTGCCTTTATAAGAATCGCCTTGGTGGTGGTGTCTCTTCATAGCATGGAAACCCTAACTAAGACATCAGGGAAGGGGCCCAGGGTGGATCTCCATGGAGAATGTAAAATTCTCAGCCCTTGGAGCATGGCTTCTAGGAAGGCAGATGAAAGTAGAACTAATGGGCTTGGCATGGTCAGACACAGAAACAACAGTGTGTGGTGTCACAAGGAGCAGTGACACCCATTCATGATGTATATCTACACATGTACTAGCTCCAGAGAACCATTATTCCAGTCCAGATCCCAGCTGCATGGTTATCAGTGGAGGACACTTTAGTCACAGAACTCACTCCTGATACTGTCGGACATCAGGGCTGCCATTAGCCAGGCCCAATGTGACACTATTTTAGTGGTCCCATGTTACTGGTAATATTTAAAACTGTGGCACCCAATCTGGCTTGTAGGTACAGAGCAGCCATGTTCCCGACTAGGCTAGGCCTGAGGCCCCCAGTCGTGGTGTGTTCTTCCTGCTGCTCGGCTCAGCCCACTGGCTCTGGAGGCCAGAGACACCCTGCCACCCATAAGACACCAGCGTGGAAGGTGACTCTGCCCGTCTCCCACACTGTCTCCACAAGGCTGAGCTGAGCCCAGACCATCCCGCCATCCACACAGTACCCGGTAGAAATGAGACTCTAATGCTTAAAGGTTATCCAAAGGCTTTATATGTTTGGTAATGCTCAACTAACAAGATGGTCACACAATTAAAGGTGTGTCCCAATATCTAACCTTAAGGTATAAGTTGTTACCCAGGACTGCTCACATGTGTCTTTCATGGCTCCTACATCTCTCTCTTAGCTCCTCCTCTTCCTCTCCTTACTCCTCCCACATTAGCTCCTCCTAACTTGCAGGGAAAATATCCTGCTACAGTCCCACTCTCCCTTGCAGCCTCCAGGAGGTTTTCCTTCTCAGAACTCTCCAGGCACATTACAGACGTGCAGAGATATGAGAATGCGCCTCCCATCAGTCTGACAATGTCACACAAACAAAAGAGAAGCAAGAGACAGGCCTGTCACTTCATTAGGCCAACATGCTTAAGTTGCCAAAGAGTGTCCAGAGAGATAAAGACACATTTTCTCTGACCATCATGGGCTGGTTTAGAGGTTTTGCTTTAATTGATCAGAGCAAAGAAAAAAAGAGGTAGGGCAAGAAGAAAGGCCACACAGGGTGAAGCATTCCTAGGATACTAAACCAACTGCAGATACACAACCAGGAAAATATCTCAGAAGGAAGGCAAGTGCTTCTGTGGGCTAGATGTAATTTTATTTCCAAAAGAGGCACAGGGCCATTCCAAGAACAGCTGGGAAGATTCCTCCCACCTCTGGCCTAGTCATTATTTAGATGCTGTGGCTGTTCTAAGCCAAGAGTACATAAATCTCTTTATTACTGCTTCCAACAGCAGACTTCAGACTCGTTGTACCCAGGAAGGGTGGCCACAGGAGAGGGGAGACACAGAAGATAAAATAGAAAGGAAAAGACAGAGAAGTGGTCCCTCTGTGAAGAGGGCTAAAAATAAAGAGAAATTGCCAATAAGAAATAAAGAGACACAGCCCAAATACCCCAGACCCCAAATACTGAGCCACATTCAGCAAGTCCTGTACCTAAAAGGGGACATCCAACCTTGGATTCTATTTCTCTGCCCTGTTAAAAACACAAAACATGGTATTCCCAAGATTCCATTTCTAAAGCTAATAGAAATTTCGATTTTTTTTTCATTTTCCCATGATCAATACAGCATGGTGGTGGGGCTCCCTGGCTAAGGCTGTACTGTCGGTCCGGCAGAGGGACAGGGATGCGGTTGTGCCCTGTGCCATCCACAGAGTGACAGTTTTAGAGTGGGCCAGTCAGCAGCTCACTGTTGGCACTCCTTGGCTGTGGAGTCCAGCCTGAGATGAATATTCAGCAGTTGTTGAGAAATGGCCCATGCTGAGTTGGGGCTCAGGATGGGGTCTTCCCCAAGTCCCCTTTCCCTCCACAACTCCAGCATTTGGACCCTGTCAGCTCAGCCCGGCCTCTTCAAGCTCTGAGGAATTACACTTCTGCTCAGCACTTACTGTCACTCCCGTGGGCTTTCCTGTTGGGCCCCACTCCCCTCCTCCAAATGTGCACAAGGGAGCATGGGGCCTGCCCATCTGTGACAGATCAGAGGTCAGCGCAGGCCTTGGCAAAAGGCCGCTCAGAGTGGCACTGGTGGGGCTGGCCACACAGTGGGGCTTCTCTCTAATTGGAAGCCTGGTGCCCAGTAGAACCCGGTGAACCGCCTGAGTGGGATGGAGCCAGCGATGACAGCCAGGCCAAGACAAGCTGGAACATTCCAGGGCAGTGACAGCTTGAGCTATCGCAGCAGAGGCAGGCTATCCAATCCCCAGCTCCCAGTGGAACAGGTGGCCGTGGAGCAGGTTTTGGGCAAACTTCAAAGAACTTCAAATTTTAGGAGTTTTGGATTTACAATCACAGACAAGTGCCTGCTTATGTGTTCAGAGGAATACTGGGAAATCCATTTGCATTTTCTCTCCTCCCCTTCCCCCATCCTGACCCCTTGGTCACAGAACAAAGCTAGAGAGAAAGAGAGGGGAAGAGAGAGAGGGAGAAAGGGGGAAAGGGAGAAAGAGAGGGGGGGAGGGAGGGAGGGGGGGAGGGAGGGAGGGAGGCGAGGGAGGCGAGGGAGGGAGGGAGGCGAGGGAGAGAATGAGAATATAGACTTCAGAAACCTGCATCTTCAGGACTGGAGCCTCAGCTCAGTGGATGAAGTGCTTACTGTGTAAGCATGAGGAAAAGTCCAGATCCTCAGCCCCGGGAGGAAGCTGGGCGTGTCAACTGCTACCCAAGTGCTGCGGGTGGACACCAGCAGATCCTAGGAGCTTAGCCAATCAGTGAGCTTCAGGTTTTAAGAGAGCATTTGTCTCAAAAACATGGAGAATGACAAAGGAAGGCACCTCATGTTGACCTCTGGCCTCCACATGCTTGGGCATGCATGCAAGACACACACACACACACACACACACACACACACACACACACACACACGAGACCCAGCACACATGGGTTATAATTTGACACTTTCAGAACACACTAGTCAGAGACTAGAGGGAAGGGTGGAGTAGGTTTGGCACTGTTGAGAAGTTATTGTCATCCTTTTGTGCAGCACTAAGGCCATAACCAGGGCTCTCTGTGTGTCAGGCAAGCTCTCTCCCACTGAACTGTATCCCCGGCCAGTCCACCGCTGTTTCTAAAAACCACTAATTCCATCTACTCTGTCCTCCTTTTCTCTTACGCTGTTTCTTGAAAAGCAGTGGCGGTGCGGGAGAGGCAGGTGGGGTGGTGTGCAGAAGTCCACTCTCAAGGCAAGAGCACTGGTCCTAGAGTCAGGAGTCTGAATCCAGGCTCCACTGTATACTAACTGTGTGCCTTATGCCCTCTGTGCCTCTGTTTCTTCATTAATAAAATGAAGGTCATGACCACTTATGGCTCTCTGGCCCCTGTATCGGATGCAATAAGGGAAAATGCTACCGGGTGAATCTCCGTGGACAAACGTCAAGAGTGAGAAGAAACTCAGCCCTGGGAGCATGGCTTCTAGGAGAACAGACAAGAGTGGAACCATCAGGCTTGGTGCAGTAAGAGACAGAAAGGACAGTGTGTGGTGTCACCCATTTGTAATGTAGACCAACACATGCACTAGCCCCGGAGAGCAGTTCCAAGGCTGGCAGCTGTTATGGCACAGAGGCTGTGGCCCTGTGCTAATTTCCTCACTCAGTCCTGCTAGCAATGGTTTTAGAAGAAAGCATGGAGGTGAAGCAGGGTGAAGTAGACTGTGGGAGATGAAGCCTTAACCGGCAGTAGAGCCAGGCTTCCAACCCATCCAAGGCTCTCCCAGGAAGCTGTCTTTGCTGAGGTAAGGTCTCTCACCTCCAAAGAAGAGGACCAAGAGACTTCCAACAATAGGATGGATTTCCCTGGGTTCCAGGACCTAAATAAGCCTAGTCCCCACTGAAGTGACTTACCACTGTCTACAAAATGGGAAAAGCATGCCTGTACCCTAGAGCCCAGAGATGCCACCCCATCATGTCTCACAAAACTAGGGGAAGAGGGCTGGGCACCTTCAACAGCCAGAGAAGTGCTCACTTCTCCGTCCCCTTCTCTAGGATTCATCTTGCTTGAAACTGAGGCACAAGTAGAGTCTCCCTGCCCCTCAGCATCTGCTGCACAGCCCCAGGCTAGACCCGTAAGGTGTCCCTCCTTGCCTTATGTATTCCTATGTTAGCTATCTCACAAACTGTGCAAGCTATTTCTCTGCTCCACAGGGTGCCTGCTCAGTCTAATTGTAGGAAATATTGTCCTCTTATTTGTCCATCCGTCTCTCTGCCCACCCGTCCATCAACTTGTAGATCTGAGGCACACTGACTGAGCGTCTGATATGTGAAAGGTATCGCAGTAGGGACAGTCAGAGGCAGCAGCAGTCAAGACAGACACGGCCCTAGTCTTCATGAAGCACCAGTCAGACAAGGATAATGAACAGAAACAAATAACCCATTCTAGGAAGGAAACAGACTTCGT